ACTGTGATGGAGTTCCTGTGGGCCCAGAAGGTAGGTGGGAGTGGGGATGTCCACACCTCCGTTCACCAAGCGGGTGTAGGTTGTAGTAACAAGAAGAATGTTGTACCTTTTCAGTCTTGGCAGGCCCTGAGTGTCCTTGGAGTTGCTGGAAAGTAGAACGTGTTCTTAAGCCCCAGAAATCTGTGAGAGCGCTGTCTCTTTGAATATCCAAAATAGTCAAGCCGCTTTTTAAACCTACAAAAAGGCAGCATCCTCCGGACCGGCAAAAGTCCACAGCTCAGCCCACCTTTCTCTTCACGTTCTCCGTTTGTTCCCCAGCCACTGTGCACAGTCTTTCATGCAGTCCCTGGCTAGCAGGGTGATTTTCAGGGTGATTTTTAGGTTAATTCTTAAGACCTACCCCCACAGGAATCTGTGAGAGCGCTGTCTCTGAATATCCAAAATAGTCAAGTCGCTTCTTAAACCTACAAAATGGCGGTGCCCTCTGGATCGGCAGAAGTCCATAGCTCAGCCCACCTTTCTTTTCACCTTCTCCGTTTGTTCCCTGGCCACCGTGCACAGTCTTTCATGCAGTCCCTGGCTAGCAGGGTGATTTTTGGGTTAATTCTTAGGTCCCACCACCACTCGGGAATCTCCAAGCAGTGTCGTCTGTGCCGTCAGGGTTACTCAGTCCGCTGCCAGACCGCAGCTCTGTGTGTCTCCTTCTTTGGCATTTTCACGCAAATTCTTCTGCTAGTTGGGGTTTAGTCCACTTTTGTATCCTTCCCTTTAAGGCTCAGGGGTCCAAGATTATTTTCTGTGTCTATGTTAATTGGTTTTCCTTTTCTTTGTTGAAGAGTGTGCAGTCCTTCTGCCTAGTCCGCCATCTTGCCGGAACTCTTTTTTCGGATATTTAAACCAGTACTTTTCCTTTTTCACTTAGGCAATTTTGAATTGGGTTTTCTGCCACTACAGCTGAAAAATTTATATTTGATCCAAGGGTCTAGCTATGATAGATCCATGCCAAAAGTTGTCAGAACTCTCTTAAACTTTTTT